CTATGCTCTCACAGGCAGAACCTAAGGAACAAAACTGACGGGATAGGAAGAGGCATGAACACGGAACAGTCTGACAGCTGTGGGAGGGGAGGTCTGGGGGCGGTGGTATATGAAGCAAGGTGAAGGGATTAGGTAAAGTACGTACATGCACAAGCCCTGGAAAGAGAAAACAGTGTAATGATGCGGAGGGGTGGGAGATCCGTCAGGAAGTCGGTATCGGGAATACATGCAGGTACTCAGTACTTCTAATTGATCCAGTACAACCTGAAGGGGTTTCACCTTAATATAGAAATCGCTAATAAATACTAAGTTCAACATTGAATATCCTTGTCCTTACCTCCTGATAATTTCCCCAATAATTTCTAGTTTGGGTCTCAGCACTTCGGATGTGTGCCGGCGCGCTCTTGCGGGCGGCCTTGGTGGCCAGCTGCTTGCGGGGCGCCTTCCCGCCCGTCGACTTGCGCGCTGTCTGCTTGGTACGAGCCATAGCAAAGCACCCAAGGTAGCAAACTGCTAGAAGAGTAACAGCGCGGGCTCTCAACCAGTATATATAAGGCGAGGCCCGCTCTCATTGGATAGGGCATCCGTCCATCAAGGCCCGCAGGGACGTTATTGGAAGCCCCATCCACTTCCGGACTGCAGGCCTCCCGGGCGTTTGGACCGGAAATTAACTTCTTTCCTCCTCCCACCCTTTCATCTGCGGCTGTTTCCTACTCTTTCTCGCTTCTACCGTCTTTACCTCTTTTCTCTACAATGTTCTTTGGCTTTTCTCCGCAGAACTTAATGTAAATAATTACCATTATATGTCTTGTTTCCTGAATAAAAATTTTAAACTTTGGCCCCGGAAACGGGCTGTCGTCTGAACTTTTTGAAAAAGCGCGCGCTACACGGGATTGGCCAAGAGATTTTTGAATCTCATTCAAATTTAGGAAAGCCAATTTCCCGTCCGTTTCTTCATTTCTCTACTTAAGTGTAGAGGCTTTAAAATGTTTCTTAGGCTTTTTCTAAATGCCTACTTAACTCGATTCACATTTGGTGTTACAGCTACAGTAACATTCACTTTTCACTAACTAGCATTCTCATACGTTTCAGTTTCAACTGAGAGTTGTGCAAAGTGTGGTTAAAGAAACCCTCAAGCGTGTACGAGGTACAAAAAGATGACTGAGCCTTCTTAAGCCATGCTGTGCCCCGTGGTGAGTCAGCTCCCCTAAGGAACCTGACTCGGAGGCCAGCAGTGTTGCTGTTACTTACAATCCACTAGGGCCCCGGTAGATGGGAAAATTGGTGATAATGTGTCCTATTGAGATGCAAAACAACTCGAGAGTTAAGGCCCGATGGGCCACTAACTATATTTGCAGTTAAATAGTCACCTTTCACCAAGCCTCGTTGCCCTCCTGTTTTCTCCCGGTTTAACCCCAGGGATTGTAGCACTCATCACCGTAAGTACCTGTGATTGTCAAGTGTCCAGGTACCCACTTTCCTTTGCTGATGCTAAATTGTTTTTATTGGAGTTAAAGTTCACACACTGCCATCTACTGGTAGACTGAGGAATTACTCGCTGTTAAAAACGGAAATTTTCGAGCAAGCTCTTTAGTGAAAGCGTGGGTGGCTCTGAAAAGAGCCTTTGGTTTCGGATGTTGCGATCTGTTCCTTATTTGCCCTTGGCCTTGTGGTGGCTCTCGGTCTTCTTGGGCAGCAGCACGGCCTGGATGTTGGGCAGCACGCCGCCCTGCGCGATGGTCACCTTGCCCAGCAGCTTGTTGAGCTCCTCGTCGTTGCGGATGGCCAGCTGCAGGTGGCGCGGGATGATGCGCGTCTTCTTGTTGTCTCGGGCCGCGTTGCCCGCCAGCTCCAGGATCTCGGCGGTCAGGTACTCCAGCACCGCGGCGCCCCCGCCCCGACGCGCTCGGCGTAGTTGCCCTTGCGGAGCAGCCGGTGCACGCGGCCCACGGGGAACTGCAGCCCGGCCCGCGAGGACCGCGTCTTGGCCTTGGCGCGCGCCTTGCCGCCCTGCTTGCCGCGTCCAGACATATTAGCAAACTTCTAACGTGCAGAGAAAGCTGCCGCAAAAAAGCGATGTGAGAATGTGAAGTTGAAGAAACCCTTTTATAGATACAGCTTGGATAGAGCGATAAGACATCTGATTGGTTAAAATATGTTCTGTCCAATAGAAAAGAGAACTGTGCATTTCTTATTTGCATAGACCACGCCCCTCGGCGACATGTAGTGGCTAACCAATCAGAAGTGAGGATTCTTAATTCCTCATTTAAATCGAGAAACAGATATATACTGAATGAGCTCTCAGCTCTTCACCCTTCATCTCTGTTGTAGAAACTGCCACCAGGAATTCTACAGCCTTTGCAGACGCCATGCCGGAGCCTTCCAAAGAAGGGCTCCAAGAAGGCCGTGACCAAGGCGCAGAAGAAGGACGGCAAGAAGCGCAAGCGCAGCCGCAAGGAGAGCTACTCGGTGTACGTGTACAAGGTGCTCAAGCAGGTGCACCCCGACACCGGCATCTCGTCCAAGGCCATGGGCATCATGAACTCGTTCGTCAACGACATCTTCGAGCGCATCGCGGGCGAGGCGTCGCGCCTGGCGCATTACAACAAGCGCTCGACCATCACGTCCCGCGAGATCCAGACGGCCGTGCGCCTGCTGCTGCCCGGCGAGCTGGCCAAGCACGCCGTGTCCGAGGGCACCAAGGCCGTCACCAAGTACACCAGCTCCAAGTGAGGCGCTTCGGCCCCTGTCAAACCCAAAGGCTCTTTTCAGAGCCACCCACTTTCTCTGGGAAAAGCTGTAACTGCCGTTTTTGAGCCAGGTCACTGTTCCATACTGTGGGTTCAGTTTGAGCCCTTAGTTGTGGCAAAGTCAGCCCAGGTTCTATCTCCAGGGTCACTTGGTGTTATTTGAACGTGGTGCTGTGCCCCATGGGTGTCTAGTTCATGTTTTATCTCCCCTTCAAGGTGCCCTAGGTGTCCATTGAAATGCACCTACAAAGGGTCACTTTAGTTACCTCTGCAGGTTTCCGATCAAGGACTTCAGAGAGCAGGGCCCCCAGAGGAGTTCTGATCTGGGCTGATCGGGTGTGAGAGGGGTGGGTCTGGGCAGCCAAACGGGCAGGTAGGGGGGCGCTCCTTCCGGGAGCCTGCACTCACGTCGTCTTGGGAGCTTTGGGGAAGCATCGGCGACTTTGCGCGCGGCTCCTGGGGCACTAGTTTCTGTGGGGTCCGCCTCGAGCCCTTTGCACACAGGTGACCACCTGAGATGGCTCTGATTCCTCATTACAAATGTTTACCGGTGGCCACAGTCGGTCTGAAACGCCTGTGAATTTTTTTTTACGTCCTAGTAATCCGGGCTGCCACCTCCTGGGCCTTGGGCGGTTCCGCGATTCCCCTAGAAGGGTGGGGAGGGTGGGTTCCCGCTCTGATAAGGGACAAAGGATTTGAATTTCCCGCCCTTCCATCCATATGTGGCGCCACCTCCTGGCTGACAGCGATGGTGGGGGAAGGGGGTGGAGGGGAAGATGTGTGGCCTGCTCTTGGCATTTCTTTTTCCAGAGATGCTGGGGCTCCGAATCCAATCCAAACAGACAGGAAGGCCCTGGGCTGGGAAGAGGGTCCGAGGGGTGGTCTCCGTCCCGGGATGGGGGAGGGGAGGGAGAGCCGGTGAAGAATCGCTGCTCACTGCTTATTTCTAAGGTGTGTGGGGGGTGGGGGGGATTTTCCTTCGGTGTATGCGCACGATGAAGAAATACTGTAAAATTTAAAGTTGAATTTCTCAAAAAGGAACCCCTTTTATTTTATTTTTTTAAAATATATTTTATTGAGTTTTTACAGACAAGAAGGGAGAGAGGCAGTTAGAAACATTGATGAGAGAGAAACATCGATCAGCTGCCTCCTGCACATCTCCTACTGGGGATGTGCCTGCAACCCAGGTACATGCCCCTGACCGGTATCGAACCTGGGACCTTTCAGTCAGCAGGCCGACGCTCTATCCACTGAGCCAAACCGGTTTCAGCAAAAAGGAACCCCTTTTAAAGGAAAATTAACTCCCCCCCCCCACACACACACACACAGCCCAACATAACAGCCAACCAATGTATGAGAAATTCTTTCTTTCTTGGCATATGCAAAATATAGTTTTGAAAAACACACTTGCCTTAAAAGTCAATAATTTTTGTTGTATAGATTATACAAAGGCCCTCCCCAAATAAGCTTGTCAGTGGATTCAGGCTGCAGTTTAAGCATCATGAACCCTCCTGTTCTTCCCTTGAGGGGGAAGAGCTGGCTAGTGAGATTACTCCTTAACCTATTCAACGTGACCTCAGGAGGGGTTATTTTCGCCCCATTTTATCCTGTACAACTTTGCCTGCCTGCTTGCTTTCAATCTTGCCATCTGTTCCCCGTCCCTCCCCTCACTTCTTCTAAATATTTAATACTTTCCCTAAAACTATACTCTTAATTGACAACCTTAAAGAAAAACACCAGGCCTCCTAAACGCAAACCTATAAATGTTATCTGTTCGGATACCTGGCTGATGCTTCACAAGTGAATGAGGAAATAAAAGAAGTCACCCTGACCTGTGTTAGCATCGTCCTCGGCATCAAAATGTTGCTGCT